CAAGAGACACAGGGATGGTTGTTATCAGGCGATGGTGAGGATGGAGATAACCCGTCTGATAAAGCGGCGTGGTGATACAGATGGCGAGAGAGTATAGTGTATGGTGAGTAGCGAGCAGGGGTAAATGTTGATAGGGTATGGAGATGGTGACTCGATTATGGTGAATACGAGTTGCAAGAGTAAATGGTGACGGCAAGCAGATGTATCCGGTGGAAGGAGGTGATGGTGATATAATAATAATAATAATAATAATAATTAACGGTTTATTGAAAGAGCTTGGCAGCCAGAAGGCTGAAAATATACAGTTACATATTTGGGGAATGGGTTTACGAATTACAAATAATATACAAGTGACACAAATAAGACATATAATAACTTAGATGGGGATCAGCTCAAACTACAGTTCATTTCAACATAGTGACAGTGTAGGGAGCAGTGTTTACTGGGAGTGAATACACTGATTTATTACATGTTATTGATAATTTTTACAATGGTTGGGACTGGGCTGTTCTTATAGCGATCAGTTCGTGCCCGTATGGGCTGGATGCGGTTGTGGTGTCGAACAGCAATTCTCGGACAGGGGATCTCAGGTGGTAGTAGGGGCCGGTGTCGGGGATGGTGTAGAAGCTTCTTGCCGAATTTGCAGATGAGGCCGTGGTGATGGTCAGTGAGAGTCGAAAGGGTCAGTGTGTTGAGCGCTTCTTGATATGTGGAGTAGGAAGGGGAGAGAATAATCTTGCATGCCCTCTTTTGCACTTTTTCTAGGTGTTTACGTTGTGTGGCATTTAGGGACGGTGTGGCATTTAGGGAGGAAGACCAGGTGGGGGAGGCATAGGTGAGCTTGGGAAGTATGAATGTTGTGTATACACTGAGGAGCTCGTGTGCGGGAACTCCGAGGGACTTGAGTCGGCGGAGGAGGTGGAGACGGAAACTGGAGGATTTGACAACTTCACTGACGTGTGGTTTCCAATTTAGTTTGTTGTCTATGGTGACGCCGAGGAGCTTCGTGGAATCTACAACCTGGAGGGTGTTCGGACCTAGGGTAATGGAGGGAGGTGGGACAATGTCGGAGGAGAGGTTGATGTGCATAACCATGGTCTTGGTATGGTTGATGGTGACATGGTTGTTGGTGGCCCAGTTTTGGAGACTGTTCAATAAATCCTGAAGGGCGGTATAGTTGGGAGCAGAATTGTTGACGCTGATCCCAATGGTGGAGTCGTCGACATATTTCCAGCGAGCAGGGGTTTCTCTTAGGGCATCATTGATGAGCATAAGGAAGCAGAGTGGTCCCATCTTGGTGCCTTGGGGGACGCCACAGGTGAGTGACTGAAAGGTGGAGACAGCCCCTCGGAAGCGTACAGCTTGGCGTCGGTCACTGAGGAAGTCTGTAAGCCATGGTATGAGACTTCTCCGAAGCCCGAGGTCAATAGCTTTGTTTATGATTATATTGTGGTCGACTAGGTCGAACGCTTTAGTGAAATCAATGAAGGCGACAGCTACAGACGTTTTTCGTTTCTCGAGATGGCGGTATATGTAATCGAGAAAGCTGACAAGACAGTGAGTGGTGGAGGAAGTTTTCATGTTGCCAAATTGCTGAGGGTCTACGACTCCTGCAATATCAGCATAAGCCCAGTCAAACACAAAACTTTCACAGATTAGGCTGGGTATTGGGGTGATTGCAATAGGTCGTAGCTGATTTAAGGATTGTGGGCTGGTTGACTTGGGCACTGGTGATACATAAGAGGTCTTCCAGTCAGCTGGGCATCTGGCTTGACTGAGAGAAGCATTGATGATGGAGCAGAGGGGTTTAGCAAGCTCCGGGGAGAACTCCTTGAATAGTTTCATTGGTAAGTCAATGGGGGTGGTAGAGCGTTTTAATTTTAGTTTGTCCAGGCGTTTTGCTACTTCAAATTCTTCTACTAAGTCAGTGGGAAGGGGGGCTGGTAGGTAAGCAGGGAGAGTGGTTGTGTCGAGCTGGGGGAGCGTCTGGCATATAGTAGCGAAATGGTTGTTTGTTTGCTCAGCTGCGTCAACATTAGTGAGATGGCTAAGGAAGGGGAGGGGGTGTGTCATATTGTTTAGTCCGCAGAGTTCTTTAAGCTTACCATACCATTGACTGATGTTGGTCTGCTTCAGGTGTTGTAATTTGGTTGGGTAGTGGGACTTCTTTGCAGTGCGTATTTCGCGGATGACTCTGTTGCGAAGTGACCTGTAGCGGATGTGGTCATTGAGATGAAAGGCTCTGTCTCTCTGTTGCATAAGTCTTTTGATCCGAGGTGTGATCCAGGGCAAGTCAGCTGGGTGAGATCTGACGGACTTCTCGGGGAAGAAGTGGTGGTGAGCTTCCGTGGTGGTGTTGGTATAATTTATCCATTTGGTTTCCACGTCATCCACGCTAAGTACTTCAGTCCAGGGATAGTGAACTATCCACTGCCCAAAGAGACGCATTGCAGAGTCAGTAATCGGCCTGTAGGTCTTGATGTAGGGTCTCTGTACTTGAGTGGGAGTGGCAGCAGGGGACCAGAGCACTGATAAGTGTGTGCTACACCCGATAGGAGGCAGTGGTTGAGGAGGTTGGTACTGGTCCGCTAAGTCAGTTAAGATAAGGTCAAGGGTGTTTTGACCGTGTGTGGGGAAGGTCATAACTTGTCATAGTGATAGCTGGTCCTGGATATCAGTGGTGTCAATTTCATTTAAATCCCCACATAATACTAACTTGGCACATGGGTACCTAACTCTGAGGTGGTCTGAGGTGGTGATGAGATGATTGATAAGAGTGTCTCTGGTGGGTGATCGAGGCGGATGGTATGTCCTGGGTCGGGTGATTGTCTATCGTAAGTGACAAACTCTGAGAAAACAGGGAGAGGGCATGTAGCTGGTGCCTTCCCCCTTCCCATCCCCCTCATCCACCCCCCTTCCATCCCCACCACCCCATTCCCTCCACCACCTCATCCCCACCTCACACCCCATTCCTCTCCTCTTTTACTACCTCATCTCCACCACACCATTCCTCCTCATCCCTCACTACCCCATCCCATCTCCTCATCCCCACCACCCCATTCCTCCTTCACCACTTCATCCCCACTAATCTCCATCTCATCCACCCCATCCCCACCACCCCCACCTCAACTACCCCATCCCCAATTAATTCCCACCTCAACTACCCCATCCCCATCCCCCCATTCAACCCCATCCCCACCACCCCATCCCCGTTCTTAGTAGTGTCAGGGAGTCTCAGGAAACTGGAAAACTCCCCATAACCTTGCCGACGACCTTTCAGAGGCGAGAGAGAGAGACTGTATGGACTACATCAAGGGCAGGAGGCCAGAGATCCATCAGCTGTTCTCTGCTGACTTTGGGTATAATTTCACGTTTTATGGTGTATGCCTGCCTGCCTGTGCTGGGTAGTGTCCTTAGTTTTGTGTGCTATTAGCCTTAGGCAGGCTCTCTCCTGGCAGACATCATCGTGTTGTACGGGAGTTCTCCAGAGGTTCTCACGTTGATTTCTCCACCAATGAGGTTAAGAGAACACCCCCTTTACCTGCTAACCTAACCAACACTAATCTATCACGAACCTCACCTGACCTAATCTAACCTAACCGAACACTACTCTAACCTAACCGAACACGAATCTAACATAACCGAACACTAATCTAACCTAACCTAACAAAAACTAACCTAACCTAAGCAAAACTAACCTAACTTGACCTAGCCTAACACTAGCTCTAACCTAACCTAATCTAACCGACCACTAATCTAACTTAACACTAACCTACCCAAAACTATCCTAACCTAATCAAAGCTAACAGGAACCTAGCCAAAACTAACCTAACCCCACCTAACCAGAACTAACCGAACCGAACCAAACCTTGTATCATAGCCTCAAGTTTCGATATTCTGTACAAGTCGCTGGGTATTTGTCGTCCGCTCCCCCTGCCACGGGTTATTACGCACCTCTGTTACGCATGTTAGTAAGAAGATGACTGGGACTGCGACTTCTTTTCAGCCAAAATTCGTATCTGTATTCCTAAACCAACCTAAATTTTACATTCTAAAAAAAATCCCGTGATTAATATGAGTAAGAAACGGGGAGTAAAAGAACGTATTTGTAACTCAATCAGGTTCTGTCGCCATTTTAGGTAGTGAGTTCTAACCAGTTTGATCGAGCTATTTACAATGACTATTCCCATCATGGACCTCTGAGAATCATGATCCTGGTACTGAGCGTGTCTAGTGGGCAACCCGCTCCGCTGTGACGTCTTGCCTGTGGTGGCGTAAATTCCGGGGTGAGGGGGAGGCGATAAGTTGATGTTGAGGAATAAGGTGTGGATGGGTCGGAAGTTGAGGTGGGGGGGTGGGAAGGTAAGTTGCAGGTCCGGGAGGGGCGGGGGGGATAAAATGGAAGTGTAATTGCGAAGGTCCAGGTAGAAGGGTAGGTGGAGGAGAGGAAGTTGGGGGGGGGGCAGATTTTCGGGGATTTTCGAGAGGAGATGGTGGAGGGAGTTAGAGATGAGAGGATAGGCGTAGTGGATGGAGGGGGAGAAGAAGGGGTGGGAAGGGATGGGGAGATGGAGGGGGAAAGAATAGGGGAGGCAGGGGAGATATACTGACTTGTGGGGAAACCCTGTGTTGCCTCCACCACATCCGTTGTTTTTGTCTTTATCATACCTATGTGGGTCCTGGGGTGAGGGGTGACAGTACGAGGGTTGGAGGTGACTATAGCAGTGAGGTGGTTACTGTTGGGGGGTGATTGGGGGGTTGAAGGGGGTGACATTCGGTATGAGGAGCGACAGGTTTGGGGATGTGACACAGGTGTGGCTGTGGAGAGAGGGTGTGACAAAGATGTGATGGTGGAGGAGGAAGGGTGTGACAAAGGTGTAGTGGTGGAGAAGGTTGTGACGCAGGTGTAGTGGTGGAGGATGGAGGGTGTGACGAAGGTGTGGTCGACCCTGGGTGAGGAGGCCGCGCGGGGAAAGGCAGTGTGGTTGGGTGGTTGTGTTCAGTGTGCCAGCGGCCGCCGTCGCGGACACACCTCGGGTCTAGAGGCTCTTGGCGTACATACACCAACCACCTCTATTCCTGGCGGGTATATTCTTATAGCATTTACCTTACATAAACGTAATTAACTTAACAAGCGTGCGTTCTGTGGTGTTCACTTTTGTAATATATTCATGCTTGTTTTAGTATAAAGTGCCAGAAAATTGGACATAACAAATACAGATCTTGTGGGATAAAGCGGCAGTGAAGTGGTTATAGCAGATAGTGTTACAACCTTGATGAGTGAAATGTTGGTGGTTGTGTGACTGAGGCAGTAGAGCGGAGAGCTGCAACAGGTGACAGCAACACACACACTGTGACGATCCCCACCGGAAACTTGTTGTGTTGTGCCACTTTTGTGTTGTGTGTCCATCCCGTGTGTCAATCTCCCACAGTGCCGCTCTCAGCTACTGCTTTATTGCCAGCCCGGGAGTGAAGAGTAAGACTGGGCCCCATGATCCCCTGACCCCCGCGAGGGTCATTCCCAGGGTATTTGTAATGAACGGGTCACACGGCCGCCTCTCCTATCACCACGACCACCTGCCTCACCACCACGACCACAACTTGGACCTCTCTACCTCCTCCCGCTGCTCATCCAGCGACGCCAGGTGACAGAACGCCATGCTCAGCACGGCGGGACCCCCGGGGGGCCTCCCGACGGCCTCATGGGGCTCTTGGGCGTCGGCCTCCACCTGCACGTCGTCGTGCAGTTGGCACTCTACGTACTCACCGCGCATGTCGGGGGAGGAACACACCCCTGTGTGGGCCAACCCCGGCACCACACCCTGGTCCGCGGGTCAAGACTCTCCCTGGTCTCTGCCTATGGAGATGACAGGTATGGGCTGGGGGCCCATCACCCATTCTCCCACGCCCTCTGACACCGCCATGTCAGTAAAGTCAGCCCGGGCGAGGCGACCCTCCGTGGTGGCCGCTCTCTTCACCGTCCATGATATTCCTCAGTGCCATAATATCCCCCGCTCGGCCTCGGCGCCGCCCGACCGTGCCCACTCCATAGACGTGGGAGCCTTCCACAGATATTATGAGGGCAGTGTGCTCGGCCCCGGAGCCTCCTGTAACACGCCCACGCCCACACCTGTCAACGACAACACTGGCAATATGTGCAGTGGGCTGGTGGGTGGCCCACTGTCTTCCCTGGTCGTTGCCGTGCCCACCAAGCTGGAGGGCTTTCTCAAGCTCTTCGCTCAGTCCCTACACCTGGTTCTGGCAGCCATGTGCTCAAGGTCCGACCACCGCCCATCTTGTGTACCCTAACCATTCATGTATACTGACGTCCCTAAACTTATTCATGGTCAACCTAACCTAACATAATATAACACTTTCCCCCTATAGGATTTTTAATACATACTTATTTTGGTTTAGTTGAAGGTAGTAAACACTGGAAATATCCAGTATGGAGAAGTCTGTAGGAGAAATTTCTTTATCGCTCTCTTGATATATGTTCATGGCTAGACCAGGGGAATTAGATAAATTTGAAATGCTTATTTCAGAATTGAATTTTCAGAAATAATTTTGGTTAAGATGAATTATTATGACAAAGATACTGATGGAGAAATGTTTGTGTTTCAGGAAAGCGCGACGAAAGGAGCGGGACTGTCCGGCGGTGCCGGAACACGAGCACAAGCTGTACCTGGAGGAGGCGGTACTGGAGAGAAAGATCCCAGAGACAGACCTCCGCCAGCTAGTAGAACTACCGCCTGGGCTGGGCTATGAGGAGTGGCTCGCCTCACACAGTAAGTGTCCCTCATACGCCTGTGTCTGGCCTCACACAGTCAGTACACCATTATACTCCTTACTTACACTGTAGATATCCTACACTACCTGATAACTGTGGGCGCCTCCGTGTAATAATAACAGTATCCCACCCACCACTTATAAATTTAATGCCTTTAAGGAAAATCTAAAGGCATTCCTCGCTTAAAATGCGTCCCCAAGGACCTATAAAAGTCCCACATATCTTCGAAAGAAAGAACGCTTCAGAGTTTTCGGGGTTTTTAGTGAACACATCTGTAGTAGTGGAGAAATTTGTAAGCATCTCCGTGGTGTTATTATGTGAAGGAGGTAGAAAAAAACGTTCGTAGTAAAGGTGTTCAGATTTTGGGAGAACTAATGAATAATGTTGTAGTTTTCCTATACCATACATGTGTTGTGGTGGTAGAGTGGGGGCACCACAGCCAGAGGGGGGAGGGAGGTGTATGGGCTACACTATGGCCCCGGGGAGTACCAGTCACACCGTGCGGCGAACACTGCCTTTAGCAAGGTGTGGTGCTGTCCCCGTCTCCACACGCCTCACCTGGGCTCACGTAGGCTTCCCTTGGCCACCTTCACCTGGTTTTTGTCACCTGCCACTCATTATAGAGCTGGTGGTCGTGTTTGTGGTTCCCTCTGACCTAAATATTGCAAAGTTTCTAACAGAAAAGTCAAGATACCAGTAAACTCTTTGTCTGCTCATATATTTTCAAGCTAGTTTAGATGTTTGGTGAACATGAAAAGTTTTCTTTGTCAGGCGGCTCGTGCTGACCCAAATATTGTGAAATTCCGAGGACAAAAAACTGGTTGGCGCTTACATTTTTTAAAGGAAGTATTGGTAATGAATTCATAAGTTTGTTTCGGTATTGTGGAGGTGAGTGTTTGTTAGTCTGGAGTTAATTAGTGTGAGGTCATGATGATGAATTTTTAAAGTGTGAATTTTAAGAACATATCTAATTATCTCTGGGTTAAAGCCATCACATGGAGATTACTGTACTCAAGTTTCTAAATACAGTTTCTAGGAATTGGTGACACTAGGAAGTCTACTTACACCAATCACGTACTATTATACCACTACGAGTACCTCATTCACCTTACTGTGGTCGTTGTCAGTTATTGAGGGCAGTTTCTATTTTCACCTGTTTCGCGGAATACACCAGAGACCGATATACAGTAGTTAACATATGTAAATGTTGATACTCCACTTCATGACTGCATCAGGTGGCGACTTCTTGGGTGGAGTGTGTGTGTGTTCCGAGGGAAATTTAATCCCCGGACTCAGATTAATCCCTGAACTTAGAATCGAGCCCCAATTTTCACACTCAAACCACGGACATAGTTCTGTGGTTAGACTATTCGATCGGGTTAAGTTAGATAAGGTTCCATCCCTGTGTTAGTGAGTTCCGGTGTATGGGAATAAGTCGGTCCTCACAGTACTGCATAACCACGACGAGCAAGTAACCAATCAGCGGCAGGCATTCATTCCATATTGCAATCATTCGTACGGTAATGACACGTGCCTAACCACAAGCACAAAACGGATTAGTAGGAGGAAGTCTACGCAGTGTGTGTTGGCCAAGCTGTTAGTGTCACAGTGTACACGGTATAAAGGCCAAATTATCTCTTTATTTGATTACTTTTTGTTTTTATTTAATTTGGCTGCGGCACCAGGCGAGGTCTCTGCTGGTCCTCACGTTTACTTCAGGGTCAGACAGGAATTTCAGTCCGAAAAATCAGTATTGGTTTAGGTTTAAAGAACACCTGCAGTCATTCTCATGTGGTGGAGAGTGTCATGAACAGATTTACGTATTAATGACAGGTACAGTAATTTTCAGGTAGTAGCTGTATTGTAGGAAACATAAGTACAGGTTTAGGTACAAAGTGTGGGCGGTGACAGGATTATAAAAGCGTCAAGTATAAAAAGTACAGTATGTGAAGGCAGAGTAATTAGGGTTGGTACCTTTAACTAGATGGGAATAAATACCACTAAGCATAGTCAAAGTGGTCCCGCTGTGTTGCGACCTTGTTCATCCTGGGGATAGTATCACGGTTGTGAATGGTGACAGATCATAATTATAATAGTACCTACTGCACATTAACAACTATAAGATTTTTTAAAGCTGAATTTTATGCCCGTACACTAGTTATCAACAATTAGAGATAAAAAGAAATACTTATAAATTTCTCTCGGGTATTTCCCTAATAAACATATAAGTACATTTTATTCATTTACATGAAATATATATATATATATATATATATATATATATATATATATATATATATATATATATATATATATATATATATATATATATATATATATATATATATATTATATATATATATATATATATATATTAGGAAACAACTTTCATCACATGCGGTGTAAATGTTTATAGGAAAAATATTGTGTGTGTGTGTTAACATTTGCTGCGCGCACACACACACACACACCCCGAGTATTGTGTTAACATGTGTATACAAGTTACAGTCACTTCTAGTTGGTCTCTGGAGGTTGTGGAGTGTGTGGAGGTGTTCATGAATCCTTCATATATTGAAATATCTTTTTTACGTGACTATCCTTAAGTGAGTTTTTCACACACAAGAAAGCATGTAGTTTCCTCTGTTTTCCTTTATAATGTGTATGTAATAATAATAATGATTGTAAAGATGTTGATGAAGAAGGAAAACAAGGAAGGTTATTGTGGTGAGGCAAGTACCGGTACATAAACCACTGGATCTCAGATTAGTGTGTACAAGGCAATATTATTAAGGAGTTGCAGTCCTGAAGGTATATTATTACCTGCGACGCTTTATAGTCACTTGTAATACAAACAAGTGTGGTGAAGACAATGGAGACACATCAGTGAAACATATTGTATAGACAGTGTCGAGAAGACATCCCTACATAATGTGACAAGGGGGGAATAGTCACAGTCGGTACACAGCTCATTAAGGTGGTCCTGAATCGTGGCTGGATCAGCAGGAGTGTGAGACGTGAGTTGCCACCACCGGAGGAGTTTGTGTTGGCGTGCACGTTTCTGGACATTTTTTTGTGTGTTTTACCGTGACCATGAGAAGTAAGTGGGTTCCGTGGGCCTGACGACCCGCTATGGAGACAGCCTGGCCAATTTTGTTTCCTGCCACCCATTATTTCCCCATCTGTTAAAATAGGTGGCCAATCCATAACTGAGTTGATCTACTGTACATCCACTCGGCCGCCGTGCCACAGATGATGACACAAGATAAATAAATGGTATATGTTGCTGAAACCTGTACAGTATATGAGGTAGCACTAAGGTAGCCCCAGCCTCCTCTCCCTTCGCTCGTACCACTACACAGCTGATCAGAATGTTGTGTACAGTAACCGTGTCCATAATATCGACAACATATGATAAAACATTCCCTGACTGAGTGTGTGATAGTTGATGCCCCCGGCCACACACTCACTCTCCTGGTATTTGTTTGTGTTGTGTGTATAAATGTTTGGCGTCCTCATTTGTGTATTAACAAAATATATCAAATTCAGGTCAACCGATTTTGTTGAAAATGGACATATTGGGGTGAGCTGTATGGGAGGACGAACTTATTTCATTCTACAGAGAGAGAGTAGGTCAGAGGTCAATGCCAATTTTCTAGGGAGGGCGGGGCCTGACCTTAACTGCATCCGGTATTGTGAGTGAGCTATAATTACCCACTGTGTCGAGTAGCTGTAGTGTGGGTCAGTGTGTGTGTACCTTGTGTGGGGCAGTGTGTGTGTGTGTGTACCTTGTGTGGGGCAATGTGGGTGTGTGTACTATGTGTGGGGCAGTGTGTGTACCATGTGTGGGGCAATGTGTGTGTGTACCTTGTGTGGGGCAGTGTGTGTGTACCTTGTGTGGGCAATGTGTGTGTGTGTGTGTGTGTGTGTGTGTGTGTACCATGTGTGGGGCAGTGTGTGTGTACCTTGTGTGTGGGCAGTGTGTGTGTGTGTGTACCTTGTGTGGGGCAATGTGGGTGTGTGTACTATGTGTGGGGCAGTGTGTGTACCATGTGTGGGGCAATGTGTGTGTGTACCTTGTGTGGGGCAATGTGTGTGTGTGTGTGTCCCATGTGTGTGTGTGTGTACCTTGTGTGGGGCAGTGTGTGTGTGTACCTTGTGTGGGGCAATGTGGGTGTGTACCTTGTGTGGGGCAATGTGTGTGTACCTTGTGTGAGTCATTGTGTGTGTACCTTGTCCAAGATATTTCCTCGGTTCTCTGTTCACTGATTTAACACTACTATTGTGAAAGTTTTTTGTGTAAGGTTGAGGTGTGCTCTAGTGACAGGCACAGGTTCCCCCCCCCCCCACACACACACATACACATACATACACAACAGAGGTATATGACACAGGTTACGTGTTAGAGCAATAAGAGCGGACATGGTGGTCTGTGTTCGTGCGTCATTTATAACAGAGTAAGAGTTAAGTTAAAGGGGCGGAGTGTGGTAATGCGATCCGGTGGTGGCCGTAATGCAGGGTCAGGTAGATGTTTTTGTGAAGAGGAACTATTGCACCAATGGATGATTAGATGGGACTGAGGCCTCACTACCCGTTGTAATTGTTTGTTTTTGTTGTAGTTATTGGCAGTTAGTGTAACGTACCACCTCCTTGTTTCAGTGAACACAGTGGTATGTAGCTGTTGGTGAATATTTAAACTAAAATTAGTACCAGTTTTACCAGTTGAAAAGTCTTTTCCTGGTTCCTCTTGCTTAAATCTCTATTAAACATACAACTCCTTCTAGAGAAACAGAATTATTAATCGACACAATGTATACTCTATATTCAGTTACGGAAGTCAATGTGCACCAGAGCAAAATGTCAGGAAAAGTAAGACACGTGTGATAAACCCCAGTACGTGTTGTATAGGACGACCAACACTCACCCACGCATGATAACGTAAGAAATTAAGAAGTGAATCTAGTGAAGCAATAACTGTACAGGTATACTCCCAGGGAAGTC